TCCAGCAGATAGTTCTTCCTTCTGATCTTCCTGCTCTTGTTTATTTTGTTTTGACTTAACAGCTTCTGCCAGCCACAGAGCACTTCACTGGATCCTGAGTCATGGGTTTTGGATTGGGACAGGTGGTATCACACATGGGTACAAAACCACATTGCCTCCAAGAAAGCATCTGCTTCTTGGAGTCAGGGTAATCTTATACTTGAACCAACAGGAATAAACAGTTTGGGAATATTATTGATATGTAGATGCCTACTCTGATGTAGGCAGGCTCTGGTTTTATATTCTCTCTGTCCCATGAAGGTGGTCAGTGCCTCAGGGTCATGTAAGGAGGAGTTAATCTTAAAGCAGTAGGAAAGACTCCACGGATGGAACAGAGCAAGGCTTATTTGAAAGTACAGCTATCAGCATGAGAAAAATTGAGAATCTAGCCAGTAGCAAGTCTGCAATTACAGGTTTCAAGATGCTAAGTGAATCCAAGTAACTTTTCTTCTTAAGCAATAAAGGATTCAATATCCAGCTGATGTGCTTATCACAAATGTGGTAATAGAGATGTCTGTTTTATTGGCTGCTGTTTAGCCTAGTGTTCATAAATGACTGATACTTAATTAATTGAAAGCAGTATTACAAAAACCAATCTGCTTACAAAGGCTGCTTTTAACATCAGTTGTCATATTCATTTTGATCTCAAAGAGATAAGTTCTAAGTGATTAAGTTTTCTCAGGCAAACTTGAAAATAAACGTGAAAAGAAAGAGTAAAGGTGAAATACCTGAAAAAATGCTTTCATGTCTTTTTTTTTTTTTCTTTTTTTTTTTTTTTCTGCAGGTAAGGACTGTGTTCAGAAATCATTCTTACTCTATATAGTGATTTTTTTTTCTTTTTTTCCTGATAAGGACAGCAAATTTGCTGGGGTTATTGACAAATCAGGGTCATAAACCAATCGTCTTCCTCATATCTGATAGTACACAAGAAGTAAACCTCATGTAAACAATAATTCTGTCTATACCAAAAAATAAAATTTGCCTCAGAACATACTCTGGCCATGGGGACAGGGACACAAATATCCAAGGAGATACCCACTGTTATCCCCAGAATGGAGTAGATATACCAGGAACGGACCCTTTCCAATGTTAATTCTCAAGCCATGCCCAGACACTGTCCTGGAAGTCTTGATTGACAAAAATGATGCTGGGATTTGTTAAAACTTGTAATTTAACAGTTTGATGTTTGAGGGTCAGTGCTCAGCGTAGACTTGCCCAATCTATGTGTCCTGGGCTGGGGAAGGCATGAGCAATCTTGCTCCAGGATGTATCTCAAAAGTCTTCATCAAGATTTCATACATCCAGCTTTGTTTTCCTGGTCTGCCACGGTCTATCTGCATGACCTTGGGCAAGTCACTCTTCTGGCTGGGCTGCAGACTGCAGCGTAGAGTAGCAATAACTGAGAAAGGGCTAGAGAGTGTCCCCAAAGCAATGGGAGCAGGGGTTTTTGTACAGCCTGGTTCACCTGACCTTTCAGATGAGTAAACTACAAAGACCCTTGTATTGCCAGAGTGGATTTTAAACCCATCTCACAGATTTGAAACCACACTGCAGTCTGCACTCTGGATGTAAGTGCCATCTCTCTGCTCCTTCTCCGGCGAGTGGAGAGACCAAGACTTCCTGACTTACAGTGAAGATAGATGTATTCAAGGTTCTAATCTCTTCCAACACTACAGCAAGTAATGATTAAACAATCATTACCCTTCACATTTTTATCGGGAAAATGAAAAAAATGGGATTTTCTTAGGAAAAGCCAAGCAGTTTCATTAAATTTTGCAGCCCAGTAACAACTGTTTCAAAACCAGAACAGTTTGCTGAAACCTCCTCATATGGCTCCCACAAAGTTCCCGTGAAAGACCTGGAAAGAGCTCACCCACAAAGAGCTTCCAGTCGGTCTCACCTGAGAGAATCAAACCAATTTGGGCTCCAACAGGAGATCAGAAGAGGGACAAAGTGGGAGCTGCTCACAAGACTTGAGGGAAAGAAAAAACTACAAGATGTTTTTGCAGCAGATGGAGCAGGAGAGCGGTTGGAACAGCTTAGCATTGCTATTGTGGTTTACAAATCAGTATAGGTTGACACTTGACCCATGTCAGCCAGAAACACATCTAGTGGGTAAACCCACAGTATTGTTTTTAGAAGAATTTGATTAAATCTGAGGACATTGTTAAAAGAATCAGACAGAGCAAAATCTACCAGTATTAAGCAAGAAATGTGTCCTTTGAGAAAATAAGGCAATTTAGAAGATCCTGGTGGGTTCTTGTGGTGCAGGAAAGTTTAGCTGAGAAAGCTCCCAAGGACATGGGCTGGTGAGTGTGATGAGCACTGGTCCACACTGAATAAGGGCAGGCAGCTCTGACCATCTTGTTTGCATTCCCATGAGGTCTAGCCACAACTGCTCCTTTATGTCACGACTCAAGTAAAAAGAAGTAAAAACCTCATAGCCACAAGTCACAGGGGTTGTTTCCTTTGCTGAATATCCAGAGACTGATCTACCCTAATGAGTGCAACATGTGAGGTATTTCTGGTTAAACAGATCTAGACACCATAAAACAAGTAGCACTGGTCTGGGTTTCTACAGTCTTTGCATCTTCTACAGAGATGCAGATAGAGGGAGGTCAGTAAATAGCCTGGGAGCCTGGATTAGATCAATATTTTGGCCATGGCTTGAAGGAGAGCAAGAGATGTTTGCCCACAACATCCTAACCCTGTAGCTTGGTAGATAGGACAACAGAGATTGCAGATCTCATTTACTGAATTAATCTATATAAAGTAGTAATTTATTCCCAGAAGCTGGTGCCAAAGAGACCAGAGGAGGTGAGTGTCTGAGGACATGCCATAGCTGAAGGCCAACCAGGTTCAGGGCTGACCGCAGTCCCACCACAGAGTCCTTACCATACCAGAAAAAGAAAAACTGTGGCAAAGTGTGTTTCTCTTTCTCAGGAACACCAGGGACTCTTCCTATCAGCAGAAATGGGTTGCAATTAATAGCTTTTCTCTAAAGCGCGGTCAGATTTTGGCGGCTTTTCCTCCCTTCACTGTGAAGTGGGTAGAAAGCTGCCTGTTCTGTCCAACTTAAGTACTTAATGGCATTTATTCCTTCCTCTGGCACAGCAACTACACAGCAACTACTTGGGGGACTGGAGGTGTCAGGTTGGTATTTGGCAGTGCACAGAGTCAGACATCTATGCTTTGGGAAAATCCTTCTCTGTGTGAATTATCTATCGATCACTTATTCCAACAAATCTCTAATCCAGAACAGGTTATTAATTCCTTTGCTTTTATCATTAAAAAAGGAGGAGCTGTAGGCACTCTCCTAGTAAAAAAAAACCAAACAAATTTCAAGTGACCCCCATTCTGGTTTTGACAAGCTCAGTTAAGGTTTCTCTACACAGGAAAATTAATCTGGGTTGAGAGTAGAGTGACTATTTCTGTATAAAGCTGGTTTATCATTATGTTAGTCCAGATTATCAGTGTTCTCCACTAAACTAATTTAATCTTGATTTTAAAAATAAGCAAATTGGAAAGCAAGAAATTTAAATTCTGCAATAGCAGGATTGTCTTCACAGCAAACTAAAAGTTGTTCAGAGATATTTAATCCAGAATAATTTGTGTTTCTGAGCACTCCTTGCACTCAGGACTTTCCAGCAGCAGCAAAGACACCTTTTCATTTCCACACACTCAACTCAAACAGCCAGAACTCTGCATAAAGCAATTACTGTAGCATCTAGAGCAACGGGACCACATCCCAACTGTCCTACCTGGCCCTTTTACTGAAGTAAAAAGGCCAATAAAATTAATCTATGTCTCTATTTCCGTTTTTGGGGCAGGAACTGGCTTTACTTTTCTTCCTAGTAAATGAACAGTAAGAAATAAATTATAACTTCAGGATCTGGCCAGTACCTGCAAAAGCACTATTTCCCTCATCCCTAAGGATGTCTTTGAAAAAAAGAGGGACAGGTAACACAAAAGGTCCTCTCTGATTTACAAGAAGGACCATATCCTCTTCCTTATGACCTGAGCTTTGCGTAGCTAGTGTGCTAGGGAGTTTTTTACACTCTATTAAATAAATCCTGCCTCTGGTGCAATGCCTAGGAGAGCGTGCAGATATATGGTAATTTGCTGAAACTTCTTTCAACAGCCACCTGCAAACTTTACACCTTATTTGCTCATAGCAGGTGAGTCCTGGAGAACTGGATTGGCTCAAATGAGAGGGAAAGCAGATGCGTGCTTCTGTGCCAGGGAAATATTCCTGAGATCATTTGTACCAAATTGTTTATACTTCTAATGGGAAGGACTGAAACTTCTTTCACCTTTTACCTTGCATAGCCTTTGCTGGAAGCCTTTAGCTGATGGGATCCATCCCAAAACTCCAGCATATCCATCAGCAGCAGTTAATTATTTTCACACACAGAGAAAAAAATTCCACGTCCCTTCCCCTTCTTTGCATGCAGGTAAAGAAAAAGAAGGCAGGACACCTGAAACTGCTTCTGGCCCAAACCTCCTGCTGTTCCCACGGCACTCGCAGAGGCAGGGAGATACAGGCGCTCACTGTGCATTTCAGGAAAGCCTTTTCTGGCCATATTAAAGATAAATTATCCCACCACATCAGTGAGGCTGGAAAAGGGGATAGTTAAATCCCAGCTCTCAACCCCCCACCGATCTCCTGTCCCTTTTGCCCCATGGATTAACCCTTCAAGGCATTGTAAGGTCTCCTGGTCCCGAGGCTTTTCTCCACTCCCTGCTCCTCCTGGCTCCTTACCGTACAGTCCCCCCACCCTCCCTCCTTGTACAGAACAATGGCAAGGCACCGGTTTCAGGATTTTTCCCCCGAGGAAAGCCCAGATCACACACACATTTAGATATAGAGAGATAGATATGATTATATTTCTTTTTGCTGTTTAGGACAAGAAATGAAGTGCTGCCTCTTTAATTGGCAAAAGCATGCAGTAAGAGCATACCTTTAATTTAGTGTTGGGATAGCTCACTTGCACCCTGGCTGTTGTCTTATTGGAGAGGGCAGCCTGCCTCAGATCCTCTAGCACTGAAATAATATCATCCAGCACGCATTTCTTATCCTGATTTCTCAACACACACAGATGGGAAAAAGTATAATTATAGCCTTTGTAGTTCACCTTCATTTCCAGCACGGCTCGGTGGATCTGCAGGATCACATCAGCCTGATGCAAAATATTGCCTCCGGGTTTGGAGAGGAGAATCACCCTGCCATACCTCCCCGGGGTGTGCAAGTCCGAATACAGCTGGTTTTTGGATTGATCGAGGGAGAAAAGGCTGCTGGCTAAGCTCCTCTCGATCTTGGCCAGGCTGTGGCTGGGGGCTACCAGGCTCTCCAGGTCAGTGTCAGGCTGGAAGCGGTTGAGCAAGCTGAAGCCGAAGATGATGGTCAGGACTGCGGGCACAGTGAGGAAAAACACCGGATGCCTGCTCACGAATAAACCCAGCTTGTAGAAAAACGACTGGAGCCCTCTGTGTATCACCTGCCGCAGCATCCTCCACCAGATCCAGCCTGCAGATGCTCCTGGCCGTCTTAGAAAGCACATGTGACATGTGTAGCTCCTTACCCCTTCCTGACAGTTTCCCTTTCTCTCTCTCCCTCGCTCTCTACTACTCCTTTAAAAGACTGCAGCAAGTTGCAGCAAGACAGCCAAATATTGATCAATGGGGTGTGTGTGCCTGTGTGTGTGTGTGTGTGTGT